CTCCCTTCACCCACTTTTCTGTTGTCCATCCCCAGGGAGGGGGTTGTATATAGATCATTGTGATCAGTTCTCCCATTCTCCCCCCACATTTCCCTTACCCTCCTGGTATTGCTACTCTCATTATTAGTCCTGAGGGGTTTATCTGTCCTGGATTCCTGTATTTCCAGCTCTTATCTGTACTAGTGTACATCCTCTGGGCTAGCCAGATTTGTAAGGTAGAATTGGGATCATGATTGTGGGGGGCAGGAAGCATTAAAGAGCTAGAAGAAATTTGTATGTTTCATTGGTGCTATACTGCATCCTGACTGGCTAGTCTCCTCCCCGTGACCCTTCTGTAAAGGGATGTCCAGTTGCCTACAGAGTTGAGTCCCAACTCCACACTCCCCCTCATTCACCATGAAATGATTTTTTTGTTCTTTGATTCCTGATGCCCATTCCTATTGACACTTTGTGATCACACAGGCTGGTGTGCGTCTTCCATGTGAGCTTTGTTGCTTCTCAGCCAGATGGGCACTTGTTTATCTCAAGCCTTTAAGACACCAGACGATATATCTTTTTTTTTTTTTTGACGCTATATCTTTTGATAGCTGGACACCATCAGCTTTCTTCACCACATTTGCTTATGCACCCACTATTATCTTCAGCAATCATGTCAAGAAGGTGAGCATCATGAAATGCTAGGTTAATAAAACAAAGTGTTCTTGCATTGAGGGAATACTTGAATAGAGGCCCAAAGTCCATCTGCTATTTTAATACTAAACCTATAAATATATGTACATAGATCTATTTCCCCATCATCATATATAAATATATTTACATATGTACATGCCTGTATTTAAACCTCTATAAATGCCCTTTGCCTCCTAATTCTTTCCTCTAGTTACTTTTACTTTCCTCTTTCCCACTATCATGTTTGGCTTTCAATAATTCCTCTCAGTTACATTGCCCTTGATCAAGCCCTACCAGGCCTCCTACACCCTCCTTTCCACTAATTTTGGATCACTTGTTGTTCCCTTGTCCCTGGGTTTGTTAACACCCACTTCCTTTCCTCTGCCTTCCCCTCTCCCGTGTCGTTCCCACCCCACCACTGTTAGTTCCATTGTTTCCTCCTCCGGATTGTTTATCCCACCTATCTTATCTAGATAAACCTGCAGAGCTAATAATATGCACAAAAAACAAGATAGAGCAAAACAAAGCAACAAAAGAAAAGAAAACAACAACAAAAACCAAGGACAAAAAAAGAAAAGCCTATAAATAGTTCAAAGTCTATTGACCTTTAGAAGTGTTTTCCATTTGAGTCTGAGGGGTGCCATGCCCTGGCCTCGCAGTCTATTTTTGGCATTCCCTGGGGACTACGTTGCTCTGTTCCTCTTGTTCTTTTGCATGCCCTTAGAGTTTCGTCTCCGTGTGGTGGAGTCACATTGGGCACAATTACCGCACTGTATCTCCAGTGTTGTCCCTGTAGTGTTATGGGTCAGTGAGAGATGTCGTGTCTCATGGTGGGGCTGGTCCTATGGTTTCTCTGTGCCTTGGCTGCTCTGAGCAGGAATTTTGTCTACAGGACTTGGTGGGCCAGGATATTCTCCACTCTCTCTTCATCCCCTTTCATTTGCTCCCATCTGCTCTGATCAGACATGTCCCTCTCCCTGAGCTGTAGCTTTAGTGCTGTCCTCTGAAGTGAATTCTTCTACTGGAGTAGGGGTTGTCCACATAGTTGAGATTGGGCCAGCCCTGTACATATATTTTGCTTTGTTTTTTTAATTTGCCTTTTACAATAAAAACCCTTTAAGAAACATCAGAGAGCTAACTAATGTAAAACATATTATTCTTTTTAAAAGATTGTTATTAAGTACAAAAGTAATGGTCTGCGTAGTAAGTGTTTTAGAAGTTCAGAAGAGAATGAGGTTAATGAACAAGGAACAAAGACTTAAATTAGGTTACATAGGATACATAAGAATTGAAAGATGAAGGAGTGGAGGGAAGGTAGGACTAGACCAGGCTGGGGAGACAGCATGAACAGACAGGCATACATACAAGGGGCTACACAAATAAACCAGAATTTTTTTCAAAGTTATGTATTTAAATTTTTTTACAAAACAACCTGATTGCCTTCAAAGTAATCTCCACTACATTTAATACATCTGTCAAATCTACCATTCCATTCTTGGACACTTTTCTAACTCATCTGTCTGAATGGCTGACAATACCTCCCTCGTTTTTTTCTTCACCTCCTCTATGTTGTCAAATCACTGGTCTTTCATGTCCCTCTTCATTCTCTGAAACAAAAAGAAGTTGCAGGGAGCGAGGTCAGGTAAGTTTAAGGTACATGGGGCAAGAGAGACATGCTGTTTGTTGCCAAACTCTGACATACTGAGATGGCTGCCTGAGCAAGTGGATTGTTCTAGTGGCAAAACCTGTCCCCCGTCTGCCATAGATGAGGGCTTTTTGGGTCACACACTGTTATGCAATCTTTTCAGAACCTCCTAACAGAAAGCTAGATGAACAGTCTGACCTGGTGGAATGAACTCCAAATGCACGATTCCCCTCACATAAAAAAAGCAAAAACAAATGAACATCATCTTGATCTTTGATTTCACTTGATGAGCTTTGGGGGGGGGGCGGCAAAGTGATGATGGCATCTTCCACTGGCTTGATTGATGTTTGCTTTCAGAGTTGTAAGAAAAGCACAAGGTCTTGTCACCAGTAGTGACCTTGGAAAAAAGTCTGGGTCGCTCCAGAGCTATTCTTTGCACTCGATGTTCTTTTTCCTGGTCATCAGAACCCGGGCACAAATTTCGCATCAACCCTTCTCCTTCCCAAATCTTCCATTAAAATTCACTGAACCGAGCTCCATGATAGTCCAGATAAATTCCCCATATCTTAAATGGCCTGTGGCCCACCTTTAAGTGCACGTGCATGAATTTTGTTGACATTTTCCTCCTTTCAGGAAGTTTACAGACGTCTGAACCAGGTTTGTCATCAATCAACATTTTGCCTTTTTTAAAACAAGAAATCCACTCATACATTTGAGTTTTCCCATAGTGCTGTCCTTGTAAACTGTGTTCAACATCACAACAGTTTATGCAGCATTTTCCCAAACAGGAAACAAAATTTCACAGCTGCATGTTGTTCTCTTAAATTGACCATCACAAAAAATGAGGTTTGAGGGAAACTGCTTTTATGAAAAAATTCACTGTGACCAGAGAGACTCATCCCAGGCGATGCCACTAGGTGCACTAACTCAGAGTGAGTTGCTCAATGTTCGCCTAGGGAAGAAAAATGTGTACTATGAAAGCTCTGTCCAGCAGAGCTTTTTTCTGTTTTTTGGGGGGGTTATCCCCTCATATTACAGAGTCAGCAGAACAGATTGATCTGGCTAAGGAAAAGGACTTTTAATCAATAAATAATGGTTTAAGCCAGAATGTGAAGTACTAAATGAAGTCATTTATATTTGATGTCATATACAGTAGATATCAATTGAATATTTTGATATAAGAGCTGAGATTTAAAAAAAAAATTCTAGGAAAACTGACCGAGTCTCTGTGTGGGGGTGGGGGATGAAGAGTGGGGAAGCAGTGAATTGGAAGTGAGAAACCAGTTTGGAAGAAGTAGAAGTAAGAGGTAAAGGGGAAGAAATGAGACCCAGAGGTTGCTGATAGGCTGGGAAATGATGAAAAGTTTGTAGTATTAGCCCCTTCCCAGGGGTAAAAATCATGTGAGGTGGAAGCAAAACCATGAAACGAGAAAATAGAAAAAAATTAAAAGGAAAAAATAGAACAATAGAATAGTTTCGCAGTCACCCACTCTGATTTTAAATATCCCAAACTTCCCATGTTAGATAGACATTCCACTGAAGTTATAGCTGCAACAGCTCCCCTCAGGATTTTAAATTAAAGTTCACAGAGTCCAACAAAGGAAGCCACACAATCCTGGGTCAGAAGGGAGGGGCTGTGTTGTTTCTGGAGAGTCAGGGGCTTCAAGAATCAACGGCTCTAATTGGTCAGGTCTGCTCATGTGACAACATGGTGTTCTCTTTGATTATGGCCGTTTATGTGTTTGTTCAACAGACATTTCTTAAGTACCTCAGTTCACTGGAACTTTGCCAATCTCTGTGTGTCATGTGTCCCTTTCACCTGGGAGACAGCTATCTCTGACGGCTCAAAGTGCTACTCACTCGTCACTTGATTAGAAACATAAGGGAGCTTCCCTCCCCTTCTCTTTATATACCGGCACAATCCTATGAACACGCAGAAGTTCTTGTCTATCCCCAGGTAAACTCACAATCAGTATGTCACACATTTGGATATTACATTATTTTTTTTTTAATTTTCCATAGTTTTGGATGCCTACTGAAAATACTGTGCTGGAAGACACAAAGGAACGCAAATTCCACTTCTCTAAACTTCAGAGAAGGAAAGATTTGGAAAAGAAAAGAAAAATTAGAAAAGTAGAATGGATGAGGCAAATGTAAGTTGATGAAATACTTACATTTACTAAAGAGATATGCAGTGTTTAAATTTTAAAAAACTTTAAAGCTAGTTGTGAATATCTTTTTCTTTTTTGAATGATTTTTTATTGAGAATTTGGTAGGGGCTTATATCTCCACGTTCCCTGTTTTGCCTTCTCTCCCTCAGTAATCAAGTCTGTTTCTTTTTGTATGAAAACCTTTGTCTTGATTTTGGCTTTATAACAGTGGTCTCCAACAGTATTTGCCCTATTGTGATAGACTGATTTCATCAGCATAATGTTCTCTAGGTCTGTCCATGACATGAGCTTCTCCACAGTTTCATTATTCTTCAGCACTGCATACTATTCCACTGTGTGTATGTACCAAAATTTCTTACTCATTCTTCCACTGGTAGGCATGTAGATTGTTTCCAGCTTCTTCCTGTTGTGAACAGTGCTGCACTGTTTTGTGTGCACATGTCCGTTTGTGTTATGGCTCTTACTTCTTTAGGGTGTTCACCCAGCAAACGATTGCTGGGTCATATGGAATTCCTATTCCTGGCTGTTTGAGGTCATGCTGTATCACTCTCCACAGTGGTTGCTCATTTTTACAGTCCCACCAGCAGTGTGTTGTGGGGTGAAGGAGAGCCCCCCAACAAATCATCACAGGTTCGGTAGGCGCAATTGTACAGTGATAATAAGTAAAGATTATAGTAAAGTCATAGAGCAAGAGAGATAGAGAAGAGATAGAATAATGGAGTCAGACACAATTCATAGTAGCATACTTACCTCAGCCCCGCTTGGTGGTCCTCGTGGGGAGAGCCCGGCCATGAGAGCAGGAGAGCCCCGGGAGTGAGAGCAGTAGAGCCCTAACTTTATTGCTAACCAGGGGTTATCTCTCATTAGGGGGACATGATCACAGGTAACCACACATCACAGGAAGGGGCAGTACAATAGGCATACACATCATAGGAAGGGGATATATGATAGGCATAAGCATGACAGGAAGGGGATGAGCTAGGGGTGTGCCCATAGGAATGGGAAGGTCTAGGGGTATACATGTGACAAGATGGGCAGACCCTAGACTCATGATGGCAGCCTAACCCTGGTCACCCTTGGGCGGGTTTGACCTCTCTGGTGTCTCCTACAAGGAGTAGGGAGTGGGCCCTACTTATTGTGGGATAAACAGTGGTGTCTGCTTGCTCTAGATGGCTGATATCTCTTAGGGAGAATAATCCCTGATCTACTTCTGATGACTTCCAAGTGTATCGTCATTCGCAAGCAGCTAAGTTTGGCATATATTTGGGGGAGACAACTTGGGAGAAATCCTTCTGTTTCCCATAGTGTATGAGGGATCCAGTCTCTCAGCAGCCTCTCCAGCATTAGATATTTTCTGTGTTTTTGTTTTTTGTATTTGGCTGTCATTGTCACTGTATTTCATTGTTGTTTTGATTTGCAGCTCTCGAGTGGCTAATGATCATGAACATTTCTTCATATGCTTTCTCGCCACGTGGATCTCTTATTTGGTGAACTGTCTGTTCTTTTCTTTCTTTCTTTTAAGCTAGCTGTTTGCCACAGAAGAATTCAAGTCAGTGTCAGCTCCACTTTTCCTCCTTTTATAACCACTCAGACCCGTGTGTAGGGCTGAGGAGTAAAGAATCTGGAGGTCTATTTTAAAATTCAATTATTTATCATTTTTATTTTTGATGTGTTGTAGTTTTCTATACATTTTATGTATTAATCCCTTGTCTGCTGTGTGCTTGCCCCCACCAGACAATTTTTTTTCCTCTGGGGGTTCAGAGTCATTTGATACACATAAGGGTCTTATTTTTAACAGGTCTCAGTCAACTATTTTGTCTTCTGCTGTGTTTTATGTTTTCCCCCCGTTATGCTTGATAGTTTTTTTCTGTTTTGTATTAGGCCCCATAAGTTTGTCCATATTTTCTCATTAATAATCTTTATAGCTCAAGATTTATATTTAGGTATTTAATCTATTTTTAGTTAGTTTTCTTGGGATGAGGTACGGGTCCTATTTCATTTTTCGGCAGAGGGAAATCCAATTTTTCCAGCACCTACACAAACTTTTTATTGAGATTTGGATGAAAGTGTACAGAGCAAATTGGTTTCTCTTCAGTAATCCATGCACATTTTATGTTCTGATGTTGATTACAATCTCACAGTGCAACAGCATTCTTTCCACTTCCTCCCATGTTTACAATTTCCATTTCCAACTTTTCTACTCCTGCCTGCCATTTGAGTTTATCCCTAAGCAAATGCTGCCATTTTTATCTCATGTGCTTGACTGTCTGAAGGGTGCATATCTCCCTGAAGTTATAGTTCACCTTATAGACCTGTCTCCTGTTTGGCTCAAAGTTGAACCAGGGGCATAAGTTCACTTCCAAGTGGAAGAGTGACTGAGGACCACAGTTTCAAGAGCTTCCTTGTTTGTGACCACATCAATAAGACTGGTCTTTTGTATGATTTTTCTCCCACCAGAGGCAGACACTGCAAGCATGATGGTTTTCAAAGTGGTAGCAGTGGTAGCCAGGCATCATCTAGTTCTGGTCTCAGGGCCAAGGAGACTAAAGTTTGCAGGGTCCATTCATCCTTTGGACTGATTGTTTCCTTTTAGCTTTGCTTTGGACAGGAAGAGGCCAGCGGTTGCATTTTAGATGGCCTCTCATAAGCTTTAAGACACGAGTCACTACTTACCAAAGTGGGGTGTAGAACATTGTCTTTGTGGGCTATGTTATGACATGCAACATTAGTGTCCCTCCAAACAAGGTCTTGAGCCCCCAAAGACTCATTCCCTCTAAGTGTTTGGTTATGACTAAGAAGTTTGAATAGCTTTGCCTCATGCATGCACTACTATATTCATGAATATATTTTCAGTACACATAATTTTAAAAGGGCTTTAAAAAGATCATGGTAAAATTCCATTAATCATTTCATTTGATTTTTCCATGAACTTTTTGAAACCCCTTTGTACATATGTAGAAATAGCCTCTATCAAGGTATAGTCCCATTCACCTTCCCAGACCTGTTCAGCTTGTGTGTCTATTCATGTATCCACTAACTGACTTATTGCTATTACAGTTATTGCAGGATTAGGTATATAGTAGTAACTGCTTTTTTTGCCTTTAACTCGTGTGCTTCTACCAGTGTCTGCCTTTGCCTTGATCATTTTGTACTAAGCTTTTTGTGTACATTTTGGACACTGCTTTTCCCTTCATCCACATAAGTATGTCCTAGCCTCTCTTTCTACCACTTGTCTGTCCGTTTGTCCTACTGTGGTAGCTGTGTGTCACTGCGATGCTAAACCACCGGTATTTCAAATACAAGCAGGGTCACCAATGGTGGACAAGTTTCAACAGAGCTTTTGGACTAGAAAGAACAGGTGGGCCATTTCTGAAAAATGACTGCAAACCGTAGAAATCGCAGTGGAAGACTGTCCAGTATAGTGCCAGGAGATGAGCTCCTCAGGGTCAAAAGCACTCAAACTAGATCTGGAAGAGCTGCCTCCTAAAATTAGAGTCGATTTCAATGACAGGAATGGAGTCAAACTTCATTTGCTGATTTGGCATGATTCAAAATGATAAGAAACAACTGAAAATACCCATTATTATGGAATGTTGAATGTACTTAGTATGAAGCTAGGGAAATTAGAAATTGGCAAAAGGGCATTAGTGAGCTGAAATTGGTTTGGTCATTCGGATTCTGACAATCATATGGCTTACTATGCTGGCAATGATAGATCAAAAAGGAATGGTGTCATCTTCCCTGTCAAAAAGTATATTATATGTGGTCAATGATAGGATAATATTCATCCACCTATAAGGAAGACTGTAAATATGACTGAATTTACCTACCAACCGCTAAAGCCTATGATGAAAAATCGAAGGATTCTACCACTGTATCCAGTCTGAAATTGAGCACACAAGCAACTGAAATACATTGGTAATTACTGGTGCTTGGGCTGTAAACCTTGGAACAAAGAGAAAGGAAGAGCAGTTGACAAATATGGGCTTGGTGGCAGAAACAAGGTAATGATCACATGATAGACTTTTGCAAGACCCACGACTTATTCTTGGTGAATAGCTTTTTTAACAACATAAATGGTGACTGTACATGTGGATTTCACCAGATAGTAGACACAAGAGCCAAACTGATTACATCTGTGGGAAGAGATGATGGAGGAGCTCAGTATCAGCAACCAAAACAAGACCAAGGCCGACCATGGAACATGCCATCAATTGCTCACATGCAAGTTAAGACTGAAGCTGAAGAACATAAAACAAGTCCATGAGAGCCAAAATACAACCCGGAGTCGATCCCACCTGGATTTAGAAAACACCTGAAGAATACAAGGGGTACCCCCCAAACCCAGAATGTTTATTTTCAAAGCTAGGTATTTAAGTGTTTTGTCTTACAAAACAACCTTATCACATTAAATTACTCCCCATTACACTTAATACATTTGTTAAATCTGCGATATCACTCTTGGAAACATTTTTCAAACTCATCTGTTTGGATGGGTGACAGCATCTCCCTCACTTTTTTCTTCACCTCTTCTATGTCATCAAATTGCTGTCCTTTAATGTCCCTCTTCATTCACGGAAACAAAAGAAGTTGTAGGGAGCAAGGTCAAATGAGTAAGGTGTGTGGGGCAAGAGATGCACGCCGTCTTTTGCCAAAAACTGGCACACTGAGTTGGCTGTGTGAGAGGTGCACTGTCGTGGTGGCAAAACCAGTCCCCATCTGCCACAAAGCAGGCCTTTTTGTCTCACACTGTTATGCAATCTTTTCAGAACCTCTAAATAAAAAACTTGATCAACAGTCTGACCTCCTGGAAAGAACTCCAAATGAACTATCCCTCTCACACCAAAAAAACAAATGAGCATTAGGTTTTTTTGGGTATCCCCTCATAGATTTAAAACATTGACCACTGATCACCAGAGACCAGGGGACTTGTGGGGTGTCAAGAATATCACACATGAAGAAAGGTCATTAACAAGACAGGG